GGCGGTGTCATTGGCAGCCCCCCCTCCCACTTTGCGCAGCTGTATTTGTGCTGTGTAACTAGTGCGTATGTGTACGTGTGGCGTAGCGTCTTAACAATTCTCTGTCTGTTGTATGTTGGCTTATTATTCCCGAAAGATATAAATCTCATCTTGGGGGCTCTGGTTATTGATATCGGGGTGTCGTGTGTCACTTCCTGGGCGACATTGGCGCTCTCACGCTGCAAATCCTAAGCCTTCCTGGTATCAACTTTCCTGAGACTCGGGACTCCTGCTGGCCTATTCTGGAGGGGGGGCACTCTTTCCTTGCGCTGTGGTAATATGGCCGTCCTCCCATTCATTATACTGTGTACAGAACGCGGGTCACATGACCCCAGATGTGTGGCGGTGATCACATGGACTTGGCGGTATCTATAGGGGGGGGTCACCTTTCCTTGCGCTGTGGAAATATGGCCGTCCTCCGATTCATTATACTGTGTACAGAACACAGGTCACATGACCCCAGATGTGTGGCGGTGATCACATGGACTTGGCGGTATCTATAGGGGGGGGGTCACTAAAGCTCCATCTGGTTCGAAGGATCCCTCTGTAAATTCGGCCGCTTGTGCTCTGATCTTTGTTGCGTCATTTGCATGAGCGGTTTCCATCGAATTCTAAATCGGATCGCTCGCAACATAGAAATCGTTGAATCGTACGGCGAGCTTGTTTGATTTGCTGCCCTCATGGACATGTGACTTTGACAGCAGCGTGTAGGGTTAACCGCAGCGGTAACCCGCGTGGCCAGCATCGGAGTCCCTCCTCTCCCCCCTTCCCACCCCTGCCTGCCGCCAGTGAACGTGACGAGTGTGTCGGTGTGCCCGGCATGCCCCCTCCCCCGCTGACTAAACACACCGGACCATATAGCTGCTATGCCATGTGCTGATAACACTAAACGTACATTATAACCCCTCCCCCCCCGATCATCTCAATCCCTGCGGCGCCGCATCTCCAGGCGTGTTCTGAGCGCTGTCCTGTGAGCCATGTGTGACTATAAATCATATCTTCCTCTACTAACTATAAATTGTGTTTTTATTTTTTATATCTTGTGCCTGAAGTCGTAGAGCGCGAGGTGAGATTGCGCCACGTTGAGCGTTTCCGCGCGCGCGCCTATTTTGTAGCGGGCGGTTCGAGCGCCAGGAACCATCACCGAGCGATATGATGTTTTTATTTACGGTTGTCTTATTTATTTGTCTGAATTCTCTGTGTGTGTAATATAGACTGACATAGTTCTGGACTGGCGCTCGGGTTGCGTGCTGATCGCTCGGCGTGATAGATTTGTTATGCGTGTCCCGGTTATCGCGCGAGAGGTTACGCGACGTCTGACGTAGAAGCGGCTGTAGGATTCGCATCCACCGGCTTTGATGAGACGGATGCCTCTCGGATCATTCAGAATTCATTGCCGGAGCTACTGACTTGCGTTTGACTTGCTTCGGCTGCATTCGCATTTCCATACAAACAAAAGCCATCGGACTCTCCGGCCCTCGAAGAACTGCCATGGCCACCACTTATAAACCGTTGTTGAGTCCCTCAGGGGGGGGGACTAGGTGCACTTGGTCCGGTTCTGATCCGTGCCCATGTTGTGCACTAGAAGCATGTCTATGCGTCTGTGCTGGCTATCCGCTCCACCCCAGGCTGAAGCCCAATTTATCGCTGTGTCCCTTTGGGGGAGCTAAGGCCTGATGCGCACACACAACGCAAGAGCAAAATTGGTATATTGCGTATGTGCAATCCCAGAATGCATCATTCATTAGAACTTTTAGGCTGGGTTCACACCTAGGCGTATCGAATATGCGCGTGTGACGCGCGTTTTTACCGCCATTCGCGGAAAAAAAAAACCTGCACAACCAACGCGCGTTTCCGAGGGCTACTTGGCTGTATCCCAATGGAAACGTGCGTCAAAAACGCCCCAAAGACACTCCTGTACTTCTTTGGGCGTAGGGCGTTTTGTAGCGCGTTCATACGGCCTGTAATACGCCCAGGTGGGAACCATGCCCATAGGAAATAATGGGATTTCGGTGTTTGAGCGTTTTGCAGAGCGTAGGAACGCGCTACAAAACGTAGGTGTGAACCAGGCCTTAATGAACTGTACGTGCGTATACGCGCATATGCGTGTAAAATACGCCGAAATACGCTGCACGGACGCATCTCGGGTCCATTCTGTTTTTGCGCATCTTTACGCAGCTGTGTGTATGGAGCCATTTATTTGCATATGGGAGAATACACGCGTGCGCGAATATACGCATTGTGAATGAGGCCTAAAGCTCGGCACTGTAGTCCCCTCCCCTTCTCCTCTTACTAGCTCTCTGGCTGTGTTCTGAGCTGGCTCCTCCTCCTGCGCCATAGTGAATGACGGCGCTTGTCCCCCGCACCCTTGCCGCCAGAGACGTGTGATGCCAATCTGAGCTCTTTACATATTGGGCTCCTGCTGAGCAGCATGGTGGAATAGCAGCGGGGTGGGGGAGGGGGGACGACACACGCTGTTGGCCTGGCTAGCTCAGCAACCGCAGCACGGATCAGAACAGAACCAAGTGCTACATGCTATTGGTCCCCTGGCAGATTCAACAACACGTTAAGTTGTGGCAATACTTCTATGTAGTGGAGCTGTCGCTGGAATTGTGTAACTCGCCGGTAATGGGGGGAGAAGGTTCGGCTTCCATTGGCTTGTGCGAGTCGCTGACTTGTATACACTACACTCATCTATACACCAGATTCCCTGCAATTATCACTACATTTCTAAGTGAGGCTTTACGTGTGTGAGTGTATGTGAGATCCATGACGCCTGGAACACGCTACTGTATCACATGTGTTGTATATTCTGCGATGAACTGGTAACATGTCGTTCAATGTCGGGTGTGTTTATACTACAAATGAACCCGTATTACCCTTACTGTAGCACACGTGTTGTATGTGACCGAGGAGCCGCAGTCACTTGTGCGTGTTGGGGGTCTTGTGTGTGAGTGAGTGAGAAATTGTCCCAGAACACGCCTGGGGCCCGCAGGGAAATGTCTACATGTGCACTACTGGAGGTGTAAACACTGAATTTCCTCAGCACCTAGAAACTATTGTACCGAATTTACTTCAATAAAACTAACATGACAAAAAGACGTGTGCGTGTCTGATCTGTGACCGTCCATACATGGGAATGATACAGGACGTGGGAAGTGGCACTGTGCAGAGTCCATACATACAGAATAGGAACAGATACTGAGAATGCCCCCCGGCATACAGGACAAGAGAAGTGGTACTGTGCAGAGTCCATACTTACAGAATAAGAACCTCTTATAAATGCACTGATACCGGCACTTTACATTTTTAAACAAGTGGTTGCCTGAGGTCCCGCACTTGTTGGGGACCTTGGCAGCCTTCCTCTAAACCATGTGGTGCCTGTTTACAGCACTGGCCGCACATCTCCTTCCTGTGGAACCCCGCTGCCCACGAGACCATGCAGACCCCTGGTGAGACCCCGCACGGCCCACCACCAGAGAGCCCACACCGCAGCCCTCCTGAGAGTCTCCACGACCCACTTGGACCCCACACAGCCTCCTGATTTCCCACACAGTCCATGTGAGCCCCTGCGCAGCCCACCCGCTGAGACTCCGCACAGCCCACCTGAGAGCCCGCACAGCCCACCTGAGACCCCACACAACCCACCTGAGCGCCTGCACAGCCCACCCCCTGAGACCCCACACAACCCACCTGAGCGCCCGCACAGCCCACCCCCTGAGACCCCGCACAACCCACCTGAGCGCCTGCACAGCCCACCCCCTGAGACCCCACACAACCCACCTGAGCGCCCGCACAGCCCACCACCTG